TTGTACCTCTTACTGCTATAGTAGTTTCTTTACTGCTTTTGTTGTTGTTTTAATAGGAATACACGAACCTTCGATGTTTTTGTAATTTTTTTTTTCTGTGATTTAATTAAACTTTATTGTCTGGCATGTTCTTCATTGTTTCGAGTCAATTCATTATGTTTCTTTGGCACCTTTATCTGTTTGAATGAAAGCAACTGATGCAGCAGCTCCGCGTAGATGTGGTGTTTTTGAAGCCGTGTTCTCAAAGTCCACGCCTCAGATCTGCCCATTTTTTTTTTTTTTTCAAGAAATGACCGCATGGTTATCGTGAATATTTGCAGATGTTTCCATGACTGAGAGGACTGTATAAGGAGCAATTTTAATCGAGTGACAAAAAGTGAACTGGAAAAGAATTGATTTCATTTGACATCGCCCTTTGATTGGTGTAGAAAATTTGCGCCACCCCCTAACCAATCAGATGCCAAATTTTAATCTGTAGCGGTGGAATCCTTTCGCGTTTCCCGCCCTTCAAGCAGTTTGCATGTTTTTTAGGCGCATTCTGATTGCCTCCCACCAGTTTGCTATATCCATATTACTTTTGTGCCGTGGGAATTGAAACTGCTCGGTGATCAGTGAATGTCACAACCTCTGCCTTTATGTCTCTTAGTTGTCCCAACATAGATTTGTATCAAATCATTAAAAAATATTGATTTCAAAATCACCTCTAGCCAAGTTAACGATGAACGTTAGAACGCAACTACCGTAATGTCCCTATAAACAAACGCGTGTTTTAATATTTAAGCGACGAGGCTTGAAGCCAGAGGGAAAAAAGTAAATGTTTCAACATATGTTGTTTACCAGGAAGTTGCATAATTCAACAGACCGACTAGTGATCCTTAACGAAACGAATTACGATTTGTGGCGGAATGACCTCAATCTATGCCGAAACGACTTTGCGGCAAAACGATTCGACTCCTTAGTAACAGTACTCCGATGAACTTCCGTGGGAAATGTAAAAGAGTAATTGACAAATGAGAATGAATAGTACGTGAGTTCGCCAGATATTACTTTTCGTTTTTCCACTGATCCAAGGCGAACATCTGTAAAAGATGAACACCGTCGTAGAAGGAGAAGTGATGGCTTCTTCCCACTCGCTACAAAGATGCTTGGCTGAACCTTTGACTTGTATCGATCGCATTGATTTGTCGGCTCCCAGAAGGTTTAAAGTATATCATAAAATAGGCATAACTAGACGCACATCTAAAACTGCAGAACTTTTCGCAAACGGGGGGAAACTGGGATCTACTAAATTTGAATCAATGGTTACTAGGCTCCCCCTACTAGTTTTGACTTGTGCGGATCTTTTCGAAACTTCATTTTGCCTGAGGGAGACCTCACTCGGTATAAAGAGCCAATATGGAAACTTTACTCTTTGAGTTTTTTGTCACTCTTCTATTGGGAATACTTTGTGGAGAGGTTTCAAGTACAGGGGAAGTTGTATATGCTGTAAATAGCGGCGGACCGGCGCATACAGATCTCAATGGAGTTCACTACCAAGCTGACAAACTTACCGTGGGCACCGCGTCTGATTTTGGCAAATCGATAGCAATCGGAAGGGTCGCTCCCGCAGATCAAATACTCTACCAAACGGAACGATATCACTTTTCAAACTTTGGCTACAATATTCCTATAAAGGAAAACGGCGATTATGTGTTGATTTTGAAGTTTTGCGAGGTCTACTTTCAAGGTCCGAGACTAAAGGTAAGTGCCGATCTTGTAACTGAAATACATGCATAACTCTCCACGTGTGAAAGCGATAGCGGTGAATGCAGCTGAGCTTGAACTGTGTTTCCATTTGTCGTGTTCCAATCTATGGTATCAAATTGACTTTTTTGTTTTGATGGATGTTCTTTTAATTTTCGTGTGGCTTTTGCACATGCAAGTTAGTTTATTTACAGGAAATATGTATGTTAACTTTCTCTACAATGGTCAATGTAAGAGCTTGTTTATTTTAGGGTTTTTACAAAAGCTGAACTTTCGCGGAAAACAAGGAATAAAAAGGCATTGATTATTATATATATGTATTTTTGAATATGCTAATACTTGGTTTGGCTTCTGGGGGGAGAAATTGATTTACATCGAAAGCGAATATCTTCGAGCGGCTAAATTGAAATAATAAATTTTGACCTCTCATTGTGTCTCAAAAATCCTGCAAAAGGCTAGTTTGAAATAACAAGTTGCCATTTAAGAAAAAAATCGGGCAAATTCAACAACGATGGTTGTCTGAATTTCAAGAATGAAGTAGTGATTTACTTATGTGAGTTACTATTGTATTGACTTCTTATTAGGTTGCCCTCAATTCAAAAGCGGGTATTGGTCTTTATTTTGGAATGAATCGGTTTAAAATGAGAACACGTGCCTATATAATTTAACTCGATTATCAATTCAGTGGATTTCTTTTCGATAATGGCGTGCAAGATATGTAGTAAAATGTGTTACCGATAGAGACAGTTTTGTTATGCTGGTGTTTCATTTTTCTAGGCTAACTTTGTATACAGTGAAATGGTTAATTAAAAAGTGAAAACAAACAAAATTTCTTCACGGAGAGCTTGTTGATAAATCTACCAACACCTTGGTTAATATTATTACCCAATTTTCACGCTTCCAAGGCTCTTCTCATCAGTGCCTGTATGGCGTATTAATGATGTATTGACTGTGACAATGCAAGGGTAATTTCCAAGATAAACCTTTGATTCAAAGAAAAATTTTGAATCCAAGCACCCCTCTAATGCTATTAAAGTGGGTGACAATTCCAAAGAATTACCAAATTGACACTCTATTATTCCAAACTATATCACTTGTTCCTTAATTCACTGTTTTAACGTTTTTCTCTCAACTTTTTGTTGAAGCAAATTATCTGTGATGCAAATTTATGTTTAATGTCTTTAACCCTGAGGAGTGACTAGCAGCTTATTTCTCCTCACAATATCATCCCTGAATCACACATTAAGGTCAGGAGAATAAAGGAAATGATCACCAACTGAAGAAGGTCTTGACTGCTAAATAAATTCTCCTTGTGAGCGCCTTTGGAAATGTTTGGAGAACAGTACGGAGAAATTCGTAATGTTTGTCATTTTAAACCAGAGAATGCTGTCATGTTTGATTCACTCTGCATGTTCTTTTATTTTGACTGATTTTTGTAGCTTACAAACAAAGTTATAAAATGAAAAAAACAATAACTCACTTGCAGCAGTGAGTGGAAGTCCTCAAAATGGGATGAAACAACATCTGACCTGCTGTTGTGCATAGTATTTTATCATATGAAATAGAATTTCCTCTTTCACCCTTTCCTCTTAGGAGTGACCAAGACATAATTTCTCCTTACACAGGGCTCAACACTAACTTTTCAACTTACTAGCTAGTGACATCTTAGATGTTATGATCATTTCAGTTTGTTTAAGAGCCAAATTGGCTGGTGGAAATTGAAAACAACCAGCCAAAACTGAATTTCTAATAGTCTGTGCCAAGTGGGCTACTGTTAGTGTTGAGCCCTGCTTACAGTATCAACTCAATATCAAGCACCCAATGGAAAAAAAATTGAAAAAAAATTGAAAATAATGTTCACTAGGGAATTATCATTTGATCCAACACCTGATATCCGGAGTTGAGGGTTTAGGACCCTAACCCGGTCATATTGATGCAAGGTTATAATTCATGTCATTGTGAGGCAGTTTCTTGGACTTTCAAATCATTTAGGACAAAAAGAGGAGTTTCATAACAAAAAGATTTTTTGTATTATCAATTTTACAGATTTTAAGGATTGTCCTCCACCTGAGAGAATAATTTTGCTTCTGCTTGGGCCACTTCGTGTCCTTTACATCGTGGATCACTCAAAATATCTATTTCTACAAAGACCTCGACAGCTTAACAGATTTTAAAATATTTTGTTACCTCATTATTGATACTCTGGTGCTTAAGGAGAAAATCACAATGATTTGTTCCCAGCTGAAATTTAAGTCCCTTCAAACTACAAAGATTTGTTATAATGGCAAAATTTGGGAAATTGTTGAACAGCAAAATTGTGCTTCCAATACTTTTTCATGCAACCAGCTGGGTTGTAGCTAAGAAGCTACGCTGCTGGATGAAATTTTTAAGTAAGGCGACTCAAAGGTGGTGAACGATTGTAAGTGTATAACCTTGGAAGTGCCCATTCTGCTTTACCAAGTGATTGCTGGCTAAAAATTCAGCCAGCAATTGCTGCTTTTTCATCCAGCAAATTTCACCTACAGCCAGTGCTTTGTGATAACCCTGAACCAGAGTTTTGGATTAATGGGCTGTTGATACTAGAATAAAGGGAAAGGGGGTTAGTTTCTTAAGAGTGTGTGGTGCTGTATTCTTGGGAGTAGTGGGGGGGGGGGGCATGTTGCAAGATAATTTGGTTTTGTCTGCTTAGTTGATGATGTAATTTGGCCAGGTGAAGAGTTTCTAAAGCAGACATGTCAAGCATTACCCCTTTGTCAGAATGGTTTAAAGTCACAAACTTAGAGATTCAATTTGGAGATATTTGGGATGAAGCTTATGTTTTTTTGTTTGGTTTGTTTGCAGGTGTTTGATGTGGCAGTAAATCAACACCCCGTGCTCAAGGGATTAGACATTTATGAGAGAGTTGGGAGAGGGATTGGTCAAGACGAGTACATTCCATTTAGAATAAACAACAACCAAGTTTTGATTGATGGGGAAACATTGCCATTCAGTGGAACTGTTTATGTTGAATTTATGAAGGTAAGTTGGTTTGTACAAATTCTTAACATTTTCTTTATGACAAGAGATGGGTTTCATGGGCAATATGAACTCTGTCAATAGCACTTGCTAAACAGTGTTTTAAGCTTAAGGATTTCTGGCCACTGAAATTCAGAAAATGGTCTCCAGCAAGAAAATTTTAGTCAAAAGTGGCTGGTAATTGTTTTTGAATGCTCGTGTGACCTTTCAAGACTCAACATTCATACAACTGGAGAGAGTGGGGATGATGGAGCACTCTGCTAATGATGTTTAATTCGCAGGTTTGTCTCTTCTTGAACTTTAGCAGTTTGCTATTTGATTGCTGAACTAAGTTTGGCAATATGGCCATGTTTGTTGAGAATTTAGTCATCAAATGTTTTCCTACTGGCCATGGTGACCAATCCAAAATGCGCTAGTTTCTGTAACTGCAGGATAATTGTGGTCTTGTTTTTGCAATTCATAGTTCCTTATACGCTGTTGTTTTTATTGTTCAAAAACAGGGCTACTATGATAATCCCAAAGTTAATGCTGTGTTAGTCATGAAAGGAACCCTTGAAGGTGAGTACCATTTCCTTATGGAAATTGTTTACTTCCCAGAAGTGATCAACATGTAACTTCTCCCCATAATATCCATACATTATCCAGTAGACAGGTAATGAGAATAGTCAGTTTTATCAGGTGAAAGTTGTCTTCTTGATCTAAAACCAAATTTTTATAACTAATTTACAAGGAAATGTCCAGCAACCAGAGGGGAGAAATACTAATCAGATGGTGGGAGTGAAAGGGTCAATTGGAAGAACACCATAACCAGAACCAGGTCATAAACCTATTCAGTTGACATCTCAAACATAGTTTTCTTTTAATCTCTCTTATCTATTTCCTATGAGTTTTGCTCTGAGAGTGAGGTGCTGATTCGAACAATCTCCCCTGCATTATATTTTTCTTTCTTCTTAGAAGTACTTTGTAGCAGTTTGGGGTCTGCTCTGTAAGTTATGTAATAAGTTTTGTCCACTTGGGTTTAGGGCCCATGCTTGAAGCATGGGGCCTTAAATGCAAGGGGGGGGGGGGAGGAAGTTAGTAAGATGTTTATTATATCTTGGGGTTGAAAAAAAAAGTGCTTGAACTAGTAGGCCATTGGGTGAAAAATGGCCTGCTGAGTTTACAATTCATAGCCTGTGTACTAACTTAGAATGATGATAATTCAGTGGCTCTGGCCTGACGACATACCTAAAACTAGATAGTTTGGGAGAATAACTTGATGAGAGAGTGTGAAAAGGTTTAAGAATGATTTTTAATGGTGGAATTGAATCTGGATGTTATCAAGTGAAGGATAGAAATGTGGATTTTGTTTTTGAATGCCATCCACAATTCTCACTTACAGATGTACCCAAGTTACCTCCACTACCACGCCCTGGGGAAGATAATGAAGATGATGACGAAGATGAAGAAAGTAAAGAAGATAAACCTAAGAAACAGCGCAAGATTTCCGGCCCTAAAGCAATTGACCCGTATGCCAATGATGAATCAAGCATGTTAATTCCTATAGCTATAGCTATTGCAGTGTTTCTACCAACACTATTCTGTTTGTGTAAATTGTAACATCCACGGTTTGGTTGATTTTATTTATTACACTGCATTACATTATAAAAAATTGCTGTTACCCAAAGCTTTGAAAACAGCTGGATAAAAATTCAATCCCCAACATAAAAGTTTCTAGTGGTAAAAAATATTGTGCGTCATTACCATAGGTTTACAAAGTGTTTGATCTAATAGTTTTTGAAAGTGTTTGTCCCAGTAGTGAAAACACCAAAATAATTGTGTTTGTGTTTTCATTCAGGGTTAGCCTTGTTGATTCCTCATCTTTAAGATGTAAATTGTAATTTGAACTCTGATTTCCAACCATTTACCTTAGTTTGTAATCACAAATTGATAAAGGTGAGTTTTCTTTCAACCCTCTAGCTCTCAGAATCTGAAAGTAATGCTCCAAACCAATGTCAAACTTTACTCTGCAGACTAGTCCTGAGAATTTGGTGTTGTTTGAAGACCATATCCTCTATTTGATAATTTTCTTCACTCTCATTACTTTTCTGCATGGTAGTTTACTACAAATATAAGCCTGGTTTAAAAAAAAAAGGTTAACTAAACATCTCTGATCACCTCTTGACCCCAGCACATTCTTAACCCCTTACAACCTAACATCAGTTAATAATTCAAAGTCTCCAAACTCCTCTCTCTATATGTTCCTTTTGATACTGACAAGGAGAATTCTTAAGATCAAAGCTTCCTCGGTTGGCAATCAGATTCTTTAATTCTCCTGATCTTAGTGAATGATCCAGCAGTGTTGCTGCAAAGAGAAATTTGTTACTTGTCACTCATAGGGTTAAGGGTAAAGCCTTCGTTCATCAAATTTTTACAACTGGAAGGCCACATGATAAATTGAATTGTTATTTATGAAAAAAAACCAAGCTAAGGGTCTGTCATAGTAGTGATATAACTAAGTTTTAGATTTGTGAATTCGGGTCAAATAAAGGTAACCCTTACAGTAGTTATGTAAACAGGTGTGCTTTCTTGGGTATCTTTCGATGCTAAACTGTTAAGGAATGCCTACCAAATAGATTTGATGTTGTCATGCATCTGTTAAGTTAGATCACAGATGACATTAAAATGTGGTAAGAACCAACAATTGAAATGAAAAAAAATTGTAAACACAGCAGAAAGTATGTCATTGATGTTCTTACCACATTTGACATCTCTGATCTATTACTGTACAGAAGCATGGCAACATGGAATCTATTAATTTTGTTCTCTGTTGCTGAATTCAGATAGTTTTCTCTACGCCTCATGTTCTCTCTTTACTGCATTGGATCCTACGACATATTAATTTTAATGTTTATCAACCCGTTATCTTCAACCCACATGTCAGTCATACAAAGTCAATCCAATTTTATTATCAGAGGACTGAAGTTGGTTGGTCAAATTTGAGTTAAAGGTGTTAGCATCTAAGCAATTTTCAATTGGATGTGATTGCATCAGTTATACCTTATTATAGGAATATAATGAAGCATGATAATAACGCGAACAAAATTTACGCGTCATAAAATTAACGCGAATTTTCCAAAAGTTATGTTTACATACATTTAATTAACGCGAATTTCCGTGCGGTATGTTGCATAATTATTCCCACATTGAAATTCAACACTGCTTTCAGAGGTTATCACGTGTATTGCACAAGCTGGAAACCCTTAAGACACAGCTCACGTTCGAGCAAGAGAAAGACAATAAACACGACCGGTTTGCAGTTGCTGGGCAAACAATATTGCCAGGAACCATATTTCCTTCTACTGTCGGACATATTCTAATAGAATTGCGCCGATATACTTGGCACGCACTGCAGAGAGAAGCTGTCATAAACGGAGAGGTCACAGCGATAAAATATAAGCCATCTCCACTTGTTCAAGGTGGATTAGAAATACCCATTGCGGTGACTGTGAAATGGGATGACAAAAATGCGATAGACATTTTGCGCAAGAAAGTTGAAGAAGTGAGTTATCCCCTCGGAGAAGACGATCGCAACACTGATGAATCTAAGGACATTTTGAACTTAATATTAAATGATGATGACTCAACCGACTCTGACGGTGACGTAGAGGAATTGTAGCTTTGCTTATAATAAAGGTGTCTTTAAATAACGATGCTTTCAATTAACGTCATTTTAATCAACAATTAGGTAAATTAAGATACCTAAAATTAACGCGAATTTTTGAAATTCGCGTTAATTACATGCATTGTTAATTTCCTATAATAAGGTATACAACTTTACTTTGTGATTGGTCCAGAAAACTTGCACTGCCCTCTTAACAAATCAGATGCAAAGCTACAAAACAATTGCAATTTGGTCCCTTGTTTCCCCATGCTTTAATCAGTTTGCTTGATTTTACTGAGTTCTCATTGGCCAATGAAAATTCAGTCCTTTGTTTTGATTGGTTGCTGGGATAACTTTAGTTTTGTTTCTCCAAAGCAACTGAAAATTGCTCTAAAAAACAGGATATGATCCTGCACACGTTTGGTCACTGTCTTCTGAAGTGACAACTTTCCTCAAATATTTGGTCTTCATAATATGTGCCCTTTCAAGAATCAATAATTAATAATCACCCTCTACATAGTAACCTAGTTTTCATTACCATCAAACCTTGACTATACTGACCTCGATTATCTGGGTTTTTCAATTTTTTTGATTGCTTTTCTGGTTCCACTATCTTCAAACAATTATATTCATATTTTTGATCATTGGACAATCAATTGTGCAGGCTATTAAGCCCAGTCCCCACAAGTCCAGCTAATCAAGGTTTGATCGTACCATTTTACCTTACCTCAACAACCTGTGCCTTGGATGGGTTGGCAATGATTGTTTTCAATGGTTTGTGAGAAGCAAAAAGCAACTTCAAAGCTACTTTTTTAATACTTCAAAATTTTTTTTATTTGAACCCCCCCTCCCCAACTCCCTAAAAAACAATAACAACAAAGATTTACATAATCTGGGCATCAACATAAGGCCCCGTGTGAATGAAGAAAGAAGAAGTTGTTGAGACCTTTAAATTATAATATGTCTGCTTTATTTGAAATTGATACCCAACAGATAAATGGCATGCATCTGTGAGATAAAAAAAATCTTCCCAATTTCACAGACAGTAGTCCTATTGAATGACTAAATAAACAAATATTAAAAATCGAAAAATTTCAAAAACATGGCACCTTGAAAACCATACTCCCTTCTAAAAGTCAACAAGATGCAGTGTGACAAAATAATATATTAAATAATTACATGCTTTATCAACTTAGCAAATTGTGTTACTCTTCAGAACAATTTATAAGTTAAGGCTTATAAATATGCATAAATTTGTTTCTAAGGTTTAAAGGCCATTCAATCTAATTTGAAACAAGTACTTATAAATACTTTAATTTAGGAATTAAATAGCTTTGAAGCAATGAATCTTTTCAGCTACATTTTTTTCTAAGCTAGCTCCACTAGTGAGGAATTGTATAATCACTATTTTTTTTTCTCATAGATAGTAGTTTCATCTTATAGTTGCAGTTCTGTTTTGTTTTCTCTGTGATTTTATATCCATATTCCTGGTATAAACTATACACAATTTACATTCTGATGATCACTTTTTGATTGATAAGCATAATAAATCACCAATATTAATTAAATACCCTCAAGTAAAGCAAAGATCCTTGCAGGTCAGTTGCTATTTAAACAATTGCAGAAAAGAAGCCTAACAAAATTCAGACTTTGACCAAACAGCTGCTTACCTGCCAGGCTCATTGCTTTTCACCCACCCACCAAATGAAATTTACTTCAATAAATATACCCTCTTCAACATTCAACATTCAAGAAACCAATTCTCTTGCACATCTTAGATTATGTTGCATTCTCAAATTTGATCTTTGGAAATGTATTTTTTTAAAGAGGAAAACATTAGAGAATTTGAGCTTTCCGATTTCAATGCTTTTCAGATCTTGTTGTCCAAATTTTCATATATGCTTTAAAAACCATGAAATTTGTATCGTATCCATTGACATCTACTGGTACTTATGAAATGGTTTGTGGAGTATACTTCTTCTTTAACTATCTGCCTAGGCCTGTAAATAATAATTTCTTATCACTTCAAGCCCACTAGTGTTGTGCTAGGGGCAATAACTTTCATTAAAACAATGTACATCACTGAGTTTTTTTAGCTTGAGTTTAACTCCTCTGAAAAATATTCACTTACTTTATTGTACCATCAGTCACTTTTATGTAGAAAACCATTTTCACCATTTACGTTTGAAACTGGTTTCTGTTGCAATTTTGGTGAAGGTTTAAAGAACCGTAACACTCCACGCACAATTATGAGAAACCAGTACAACTGTACACTGAACAACAAAAAGCAAAATGAATTGCAGAAAAGAGGTACTTTCAAAGGAGTTTGTAGAAAGGGTATGTTGGCATACTGAGCATAACACCAATACATATAGGGATAAACAAGTACTCTACAAAACAGAAACATAGTTGCTAAAAGAACACCATTAGTTACATACAAGATTGATTTCCTCATTTCAAACTGAAAAAGAAGAGAGTGAAAAATCATTAGAAGATAATTTGTAGGGAGATGGCATCTGAGAAGTGAAACAAAACTATCCTAATCTCATGCACTGATTAGACTATGGGGTTACAGGGTTTTATTTGTAAGTTGGAGTTTAGATTCAATGATTAACACATTCTGCTTTCTCTGAGTCTCTTAAAAACTGTCTGAAGTGGGTAAAGAGGGTTAAAGTCTGTACTTGAGCAAAGTGGCCCATCCAGCTGGTGCTTATCTTGGTTTCCATATCATGAAGTAAGGAGTATACTACTCCCCCCACCCCTGGAAGGGATGCCAGTCCATTGCAAGGTTACCCATACCCCCCAGTATTCCAACAGTCTTGACCCTGAAACTTTGCCAATGCTCCTTGATAGAGAGAGGCACTGTGAAAGTGAACACAACACCAGAACACAACACATTCACCCAGCCAGGTCTCGAACCCAGACCTGACTTAACCTGAAATCCTGAGCACTAGACATTAGCTGGCCCATTGTGTCTTCCACTGACTTAAGAGTAACTTAATGAAATCAAAATGGCAAACAATAAAATCTGCAAGGTAACTGGCAAGTTTAAAGTACTGTAGAGGTAATTCTCCAAGCCCAACTGCATGTACCAGTTAGAATCGGTAATCGAATTAAAATTATGATTTTCCTATGAATGGGACTATTTAATACCTTTTCTAAGACTGCCTTGAGGGACAAGAATGGAGTGCTCATCTCATTTAGATATACACATGCTACGAAGAAGTCCCCTTTTTCCTTCCTCCATACCTAAAATAGAAAGACAACCTTTTTCACAAACCTAGCCTGCAGTGCCAGTGTATTTTGGGCGCACGAGTGCACATTTTTGTATTAGGCGGCCATCTTAGATTTGGTAACTGTGGAGGATTGGTGCGAGGAAGTATTTGCCGAGGGAGTAGGTGTTTAGTGCAAAAATGGGCAAAGGGGGAGAGGGAGGGGAAGGAAAACATTTTGAGTTAAGATGTGTATGTCTATTAGACAAATAGGTCAGCATTGTAGATTTTGATGAAAATATCTATTTTCTAACCCAGGGATACTGGGTTTCCATACTGAGTGCAGGGGTGTTGGTGGATGTTAACCCTTCAACTTCCAAGATCTGAGTTGGGTTGTTCAAAGCTGGGTTAACGTAACCCAGGGTTACTGTGAAATTTGATATCAGGTGTGAAAGCTTTAACAGAAAATTCAGTTTAAGACCATTGTCTACAATTTGATGATTAAATACTCTAAAAAGAATTAGGAAAATTTTTCCAAAATGGCTTTTGAACAGAGAAATATGGATACCAGGATTAGAATTTAACCCCGGGTTAGCGCAAATCAGCCCTCGAAAAAATGGGCCCTGATTGTTATTCTCCCCTACAGCAGATACACATTTCCTTGTAAACTAGTTAAGAGAATTAGGACTCAGATCAAGATAACATATACACAATAAGTTTGAGCATTCTAATATATTACGTGTTTGCAAGATGGTGTATGGATATGTTAGGGAGAAGTTACATGTGAATCACTTCTGGGAGTAAAAGGGAAATACAGGCCTTGGTCTATGAAGAGACCTTTGTGAGAGAGAAAGGGTTCAATTGTACAACAAGAGAAAGGAGATGTGATGCAAAAATCAAACTAATGAACAAAGGTTTAATTCTGACTTAAAATTCATTTTGACTAAATAGTAAATGATATACACATGTACATATTTTTAATTGTTATGAATGCATGAAAACATCAAACTTTCAGCATCCAATTCATGAGGAACAAAATACTTCAGTATTCAATCAATATACAGAATATTTGTAACTGATTATGTCAACATAAAATTTTTACTGCTATGAAAAGTAGCCCTTTCAATTCAGATTCAGATATTATTCTGAACGCGAATTTATTTCTAAAATGGGGTCCACAATTAAAAAGTATCTGAGTAGTGACTGCCAACCCAAAGTCTCCATGTACCTGAGCATCCCCCCCCCCCACCTCACACCACATAGACGCAAAATAGTGTAATAAAGAGTGGCTATCACAGGATCCATACTACCGGTGCACCCTGTTACTGCATGCACATCATTACTTGAGAAAATCTAAATGCACAATTGCATAAGGTGGACCATAAAAATGCTGCCTCAGGTCCAGCAAGAGGCTAGATACAAATTGCAAGATGGAAGAAAAAGAAAGAGAAGAGGTCATACAACAAATGCTTACTAACTGGAAACAGTCAGGGTACATGGGAAAATATTTGGCCTGAGGTCAGGATGCATGAACAGGGTGTGCTAAGGTCTACACATCATGATGTTTAGCCTTATATTTTTCCCATCAGACCCTTCCTCTTAGTCAATTAAGTACATAATAATAATTATCAGATCATGGTATATGGGAAAATATTTGGCTCTAGGTCAGGACACATGAACAGGGTGTGCCCAGGTCTACACATAATGATGTTTACCCTCATATTTTCTAATCAGGCCCTTCCTCTCAGTCAATAACTATACAACAATAATTATCATTGCTTACAGTAACAGCAGGAAACCCAATGAGTGGGAGAAGAAGGTGGTGGAGGACAATGAGTTTCTTCTTTTTACAAAACTTTGTCCAAATGTGGTATATGTCTCTCTGCGGGTCTTCCTGCTTTTCTTCAAGATAAGTTCCAATAAACATCACCACCACATCATAATAAAAATAACTCAATCCAAAGCAGGCATACAGAGTTAAAATTGGTTGCCTGCAAAACAAAAGTTATGAATTTCATAATATATGCCAGGTTTTTACAGACCCTTTCAGTATTTTCTAAATTGTCTAGTCATTAAAGGGTTGTTGCTAAGAAATTAGCCTGCTGGCAGAAATATCAAGTGGGGCAGCTCAAAGCTAGATAGTGTTTGATAGCAGACATTTGTAAGTGCACAACCTCATACGAACCTGTTGTGCTTTACCAAGTGATTGCAGCTTTTTGATGTAGTGACAAAATCCCACTTCAAGAGTTTAATTTCTGACCAATTTTCAAAATATTGACAGAAATAGATTTATTTAATTATTTTGTTTTCTGCATGGTAAATACTAAAATAATTGTTGAAGGTCAGAAAAGGTGGCAGTAAATATCCACCACTATTTTACTCCACTTTGGTGAATAATTGTTGAGCACCTCTGTTCAAAAGCCCATTATACCAGTTTCTTTTAGCTTTATATATAGTTTGACTCTAAGTCTTCAATTTTCTTAACAGGAAGGAATTTGACACAAAATAAGCACAAAATAATAGTAAAGTTGTTTACATTCCTATATATGACCACCAATGATAATAACCCATTAATCAATAATGTACATTCATTATTAACCTTAAAACCTTAGTCACATATCCCAGCAGAGAATCTCCAATTAGAGGAAGGGGGGGGGGAATTCCTGATCCAGTTTCAGGCACAAAATGTTAGAAAAAGTCATGTTTCACAAATAAAAAAAAGAAAAAATTCTAATCTCTCTTTCTGTGTGCAAGGTTTCAAGAAAATCCTGAGGTTTTAATAAAAAGAAATAAAGTGACAGGTCACATAAATTTCAAGTGGTAAATCAAGCATCAAATATATAGTGGTTTATAAATTCTGAATTGCACTTGCCTTGCCACATATTTATTTTGGCCTAGTTACACATCACTTGCACAAACCTTTTGCCACCCTCTGATTACGCGTGTTTCTTTTTTCATGTAATAATGTGGGCTAAGTAACACAAAAATTCAGGGTAGTGCCCAGTAGCACAGATCCCAGGTACCTCAGGCAACATTCTTTAGTCTCAATTAAGGCAAGCTGTCCTCCTCTAAGAGGCAGGCATCCCAGATTTCTGAGAAGAGCCTTGGGGTAACCTTTGAATATTTTGAGAGCACAGCTTTGGAAAAAATTGTCTCATGTAACTGCTTTAATAATTAAGATGCCTCTAGCTTGAATCTTTTATTTGGTATATATATTTACTACATAAACCTCTTTTATCTTTAAGCTTAGTTTTAATATGACTATTGTTTGCAAGTTTAAATAAGGATATGTAGACCATTATTTTAGAATGCTTTTCTCAAAATCAATACTTGTTTGCACTTGTGGTTGACTAAAAGAACAAAAAGTCTTCCTTGGAAAGAATTGCAAAACATGATTGAAATTGTATGGTGGCCAGTTTCTTTTCAGAGTACATGACACCAACAAAATCTAAGATAAACTTCTGAGCTAATCCCATGATAAAAGGAAGGAGAGGAAGAGATAAAAAGGAATTACGAATCTGACTACGCCTGAGGCACGCTTTAATCTGACAATTATCTTGGATACAGCAATTAAGATTGGGCGGTAAGCTCCACTTCCCGCTGGTTACTGATTGGATAACTTCCACACCGCAGTTAAATCTCCACGGTAATTTATTTATTAAGGTACTCGTCCATATAGTGTCCATCTCAGAATGGATTGTTGCTATTACGGCCATATATAATACATGTCAGTAAGCTAGCAGAAAGAAATAGGTTTCTTCGGGAAGCTTTTGGTGAGGTTTTTCGACTTCAAGTTTTTTTTTTTTTACAACAGCAAACATTGGACAAGAAGTAGTTTTTTTCATCTCTCGCTCACGCGGGAAGTAACCGCCAATACAAAATAATCAAAATTAAGGTGCGATACTTTTTAATAGGCAGCTTTTGGTCTTCCAAAATTCACCTGTTTCCCAGCCTCGGACATCAAAACAAACAATTTGCCCAAATTTTCGCTGAATGTCAACAGATGTTCACGGATTGTTGAAAGAGGCAAGGAAAGAAGTTTAAAATCACTTAGGTAATAGTGGAATACATTGATATGAAAAACTTGCGCAATAACATAAAAACTGGCGAGTTCTCAACATACCGGAACACAAAAGACGGCAAATGTCGGCAATGACACCTTATCGCATAAAATTGAAGTTATTAAGTGTTTGCGGAAGTCGATTTTTTATTACTTTACCTGTGTAACATGATGTCAGTGGAGGTGAAAACAACTTTTAAGCCAACGAGAGAGGCACCAAGCGCCTGAAGTGCCGACACAAACCTGTCAAAATGTAAACAGTAAAATTGTTTCAGCTGAAAAAGGAACCCCTTTTTATCCCAATTGTAAAAAGTCGTGTTTCATGGATTTTACATAAACCAGAGTGAAAAAGCTTTACAGTATAAGTTTAGTTCTGTTTACACACACCGGTTTCTTTTAAATCACCTCTCCGCTATCAACCTACCGTGTGCTAATAGAAAATCTGTCGACATAGCTCAGTCCTGGAAAAATGTACCTTTGTAGAAAAGTGAACAAAATGTGGGACGACGGAAAGGCGAAGAAGCCGGCTATAAACAGTGTGATGCCCACCATATTATTGCCACATACGTGATTTCACATGCATGCCAAGAAATGCTAATTTTGGACTGGCCGCCAGCGCGGTTGTCTCCTGTCGAATCACGCCATCTTTCCCGAAGATACTTCGGTAAAACACCGAAGACTGTCCGAACTCCGTCGATGTAACGAGTCAAAAGGTAAGTTCGAGTGTTGTATGAGAAGCAACATGAGAAGGTCGAGAAATCCAACTTCATCATCAGCGAGTCAGGCCAGCAGCTTAGCAACTGGTTCTTCAAACAACAGCAATAATGGGAACACAGTTCCTTCCCTACTCAAGGAACTTCATGCTCTTGTGCTACAAATCCAGGTATTGTCGTCATATATATTAGAAGCGAATATGAATATTACTTCTGGATGCGATTCAGGGTTTAATTTAAAACAAATATCATTACATATTTATTCTTGATTTCCCCAAAGGCTCCTTTACATACATTTAGTTCCTTAAAAATATAGGTTAGTTTCAAATCAAATCTTCAATATTAAAGTTGATCGATATGTATACACAGGTGTCCACATAAGTTTATTGAAAAGGCCTGGGGAGAGTGAGTAAAGATATCCCAATTTGTGTTATTGAAAAGGCTATTCAGTTGAACAGATGCTCAGTATTGCTAGGTATCATCCTTGATCCTTTAACTTCCCAGATCTGATTGTTAATGCTCCCCTCTTACTGGTACACATTTTCCTCCAAATTAGTTACAAGAATCTGGTGTGAGATAAATATTACAAGTATTACCTGATAAGTTTGAGTATTCTCATTACCTGTTTGCTGGATTATGTTTGGATACTCAAGGGAGAAGTTTAATGTTCATCACTTCTGGGAGTTAGAGGAATGTTGTAAGCTATTTTTACGTGCTGGTGAAATTAGTCAAAAATGAGTTGGGTAATATAATCCCTTGTTGTTGTTTTTTGTTTTTGTTTTTTTATGTCAAATTGTGGTTACCTAGCTCATCACGCTGTATCTCCCTGGCAAGATTTAAAAAACTGCAATTTGTTTTAGAGCCACCATTGTCTGTTCTAAATCACTGGTCTGAGTATATTAGTCAATTTCAGGAAACAGACAGGTTTAAATTTGTCATTAGAGTAAATTCAGGTATCTGTTATTTCCAAGAAATAAGTGTTAAATTACAGTGCAACTCAACTTTTTAATGCCTAAGGGTGTGTGACTTCTTTTTTTTTTTTTTTTTTACTGTATCACCCTTGAATCATATACAGTGGAACTTTAATTTAACAAAGTGCCAACTGAAGGGACTGGGGAAATTGGTTCGTTATATATTTGAGGATTTGTTATATTGAGGTTCTGTGGCTTACATTTTACTGTAATTTTAGCTGGACTGAAACTGAAGTATTGTTCGTTATACCAAGGACTTTATTATATAGAGGTTTGTTAAATCAAGGTTCCACTGTGATATAAAAATGAATAGAATAAAAAAAATGATCCCCTACTTTAGAAGCTCCTGATTGTCAAACAAATTCTCCTTGTTATTACCATAGATACTGTAAAGAGAACAATGTTGAGAATATGCATGCTAATACAAGGCTGTGCTGCAAGAAAAATTGAAGGTAGCCCAGTACTCTGAAACTGTGAAATCCCGGGTGCTCAGCATATGTTATTTATGAAAAAAACTAAGATTTCTAAGTTTCCCAAGAGCAAAAGTAAAGCACTAGGGGCCACTGGGCACTGCTAGACCACAGCCCTACATATTTATGTAACGGTGGAAAGGGTTATTGTAAACATACTGATTTTCTGATCATTTTGATTAACAACTTTCTGTCCTCTCTTAGGAACAACGAACACAAAGTGAACAAAACCTATCAACCATTGCAAAAACTCATGAGAAGATGAAGACAGAAGTTAAAGGTTTGTTGGAGTATAATGAAAAGCCCTTCATCCTGAAAATCCACTGAGAAACTATAAGATAAAAAATTCAAGGCTCCAAGTTTGATCTACATTGTTAAGGGTTTGGCAGTTGTAGCAGGTTGTAAGGAAGTATTTTAGGGAAAAAAAGAAGATTCTTCAAGGTCAAAAAAAGTGAGGGATATTTGTATTGAATCAAGGAGAATTGAACTTGTCAGGGAAAGGGTCTCTGGTTGGGTGAACCGACATGTAGACTTATGAAAAGTCAAAGAATAATGAAATCATAGCAATGTTTATTGAATACCTTTGATGGCAGGAATAAGATCTTTTGATAATGTTGATCTTAACAACATTTCTTCTTTTCTGTGCTTTCAGAGTTTGTTTGATCCCAACTTATTTTTTTGTTGATTTCTACTAGAAAAATGAGTTGCTTGTATGCCCAGTAGTTGAGTGATGAGGTAACTTATACCCCTCAAACTGTCCCCTTCAGAAATCTTTTGACAGGAGTTCCGTATGGAAGCCCTCCTCACACCTCCTAATCAAGTATTAGGGTGTGTAAGGGGTGTTTTTTGATTATTGTAATCTGAAAGGGTCAAGAGACCAAAATGGTTATGATTCTTCCATATCCACAGTCCTTTCCTCCCATTTTAAATCCTCATGTCTTTGAAACTGCCATTATTTCTTAATACTGTTTGTCTCTTTTTTTGTAGTATCATCTTATTTTAAATCTAAGCTGAGAGGCTTGTACAAAACAGCGGGAACTGATGCAGAGACAGAAGTAGAGTGAGTGCCTTCTAAAATTGTGTCATTAAAAGCATAACAGGACTACAATTTACTACAATCTTTGAACCTTTCTTTACTTTCAGGATAATCAAAAAGGCTTTGGACAAAATAGCAAGCATCAAGGCACTGAGAAATGACAGAAGAATTGGTGAGAGAAATGTTTAATTTCAGCCTCATGCATTATTGTAACCAAAGAAAACCTTTTGTGTATCTGCTACCTAGCAAGTAAATTGTCAAAATTGAAACTGCAGAAGTTTTATTAGTGTGGCCGGATTTGATAGCCAATTAGTTCCCTCAAAGGGATGTTGTCTATTGTCAATTGTCAAGCCTCAGTGGATTTACAAGTAGATCAAGCTAAACCACTGACAAAAGAAATGTAATTGGTGCATTTCATAACCTTTCCATTCATTTGATATATAGTTTATGGTGGTTGTGCTTAAAGTAGTGGGGTAACAGTTTTCCCTTTTGCCACAGAACACCTGCAAGAGGTCTACTGTATCCTTAATCCTTTCGCCCCTTATAGTGATGGACTAGCATCTTCTCATTACAGTATCACCCCTGAATATCAGCAGTAAGATTATGAGAATAAAGGAAATGATCAATAACTACAGAAGCTCTTGATCATAAAGCAAATTCTCCTTGTCAGCACCCCAGGAAATGTATTGAGAAACAGTATGGAGAATATACATACTGATGCAAGGGGTGTTAGCCTGGGGGTTAATACTGCAATGCTGCTCTAAAGTGATTTTTCACATGGAGTATCACCCACCTAAGAAATATAAGCAGCTAAATAACAGATTGATAATTTTTAATTTATTTAGTGCGTGGTGGTAGCAGCCGACTTGGTAATCAGGAAACAGGAGAACCAAGGTGATTGTTTCATATTAAAAAAAAAATTGTTTGCCTTGAACTCAACTTGGATCTAGAATTTAGTTCTTCAGAGTTAAATTATTGTGATCTCTCTTTTGAGTTAGCTGTCCTAAAATGCACTTGGCAATGGCAAAACTGAGTATATTAGTGATAAAGGTAACAGAAATTAAAGGATGATAATAACAACTGTTTCAATTCAAAATGTCTAGGGTTCCCTTCTCTGCCAATTTGTGCTTGTATTTGGATCATGACAAGGCAGTGATATTGAAATTTTTGAAAACATAGAGCAAGCTAGCCTAAGGGGCGAGCCAATTTTCTCACTAAAAAGAGACAAAGATTGACATTTCTGTTGTTCTGTTAACATTCCTCTTTGAAATTTTTGTAGAATTATAAAGGCTGTAAAGTAACTCTGCCCTCAATTAAGTTCCATCCTCGTGTAAAGCTACTCCTTGGTGGCAAAAAATTATTTGATAAATGCCCTTAATCAGCTAAACATGCAGGGGTTTCAAAATGTTTTGAAGTAGGTGTCAGACTCTACAAATGTAGGTGACTGTGACAGGTTCATTAAAGGGCTAAAAGGTAATTATTTTGACTGGAGTAACAGGTGACATGTTATCGAGTAGCTGACTGAAATCCAGCTATTGCCGGCAAGTTTTGAAACCCCTGAACAATTGGTATGTGATTTGTGCAAATGTTAAAAAAGGTGATTTGCACCTGATTTGTTGCTGTTTCATCTATTTCTTTAGAAAAGTAATGAGGCGAGGAGTTCTAATGACAATGTTACAGCAAGCTGCACTGCAGTTACCAATGTGGATGGGGAAAGCCTCTGAAACGTAAGTTAACCCCCCTACCTTGGTTAATTGAAGGTGGGTACCTGAAGTACCCAGGGGCTACTGCCCTCTTGAACGACAAATGACCACAACCCAGTCAGGGATTACTTTTAAAGCGATTTACCAAGCTGTCTACTGTTAGCAGGCTCTCCTGTGTGAGTTTCATCCTACATCCACTTTTCAGGGCACTGTCACTGATTACACCATGAAAAGTGGCTTATTGAAAAAGTAATTGAAATATCTGCCAGCCATATGCCCCATTCCAGATATTTTTTAACACTGGTTGGATCAGTGGATGGGAAACAAGGGGTGGGTGGGGAACACTTGGAAATGACCAGTACAAAACTACATAGGGCTACTTGAAAACATCTTCTGCCAAATTGCTTGAGAACTCAAAGATCTGCCTATATTAAAGTTGCAAAGTTGCACGCAAGCCTGTCCAAGAGAGATGGTACTCAGACTGGAAAAGCCTGCCAAGCTTGTGGCAGTTGATTTAGTCTATTTAGCAATTAACAAATTCCTATTACTGAAACATAAAAAAAAAAAAATTTTTCTCTTCTTCTAAGAATGGATCAGGTGTAAACGTTCTTCTTTTTACTACCTTTCTTGGTTAAAAATATTGTTTATTTAATGCATGTCCTATTCCTCTCCAGGCCCCCTCCTCTTTGTGGTTGCATTCAAGCAGAACCTAATTATGTCGCCCAGCAAGGAGATCATGTAAGATGATCAATAATGTCTCATTATTTTAAATTATTTCCCCCCCACCCTCTTTTTCCCTTTTTAAATCCAAACTGTTTTCTTTTTCTTACATTTTAGGTTGCTGCGCGTGTGCGCACTCCTGACGGCGAAGAACAGTTGATCCTAGCGGAAATAGTGTCATTTAATCCCTCGTCAAATAAGTATCCTTAGACAATCTATGTATTTATGTTGGAAAAGTGCTTTTCATGTAGCCTGCAGTGCCGGCGTATTTTGGGCGCACGAGTGCACATTTTCGTATTAGGCCGCCATCTTAGATTTGGTAGTTGTGGAGGATTGGGGCGAGGAAATATTTGCCGAGGGAGTAGGTGTTAAGGGGAAAAATGGGCAGCGGGGGAGAGGGAGGGGAAGGAAAACACCTACTTAACACCCACTCCCTCGGCAAATATTTCCTCGCCCCAATCCTTCACAGTTACCAAATCTAAGATGGCGGCCTAATACGAAAATGTGCACTCGTGCGCCCAAAATACGCCGGCACTGCAGGCTACTTTTCATCCTTCAGTATTGTATATTCAAAAGTACCTTAGTCTGTGCTGGTTAACTGGGATGAGCAAAAGAAATAATACTTGCGAACAACGTTCCGGCTAATCCTAGTTGTTTTTAATGATCGAGATTCCAGCCTTTCCTAAGCGATATCTTCATGTGTGATTCGTAAAGAGCCACGATTACAAGACTGAAAGGTTTTCGGAGAACATCTGTTTGAAAGAGATGAGATTTTTCAGTGGGAATTCTGACCTAGCCGAACATGCGTTTTCTTTTTTTGCCTTTTTTCAGGCAAATAAAAGCAAGCCCAAGTCAAGCTCGAGGAGACGAACGCGAAAAAAATTGTGACGTCATTTTTTCGCGCTCCTCCTCTCGCACATGACTCGCGCTTCGCGCTCACCTCGGGCGCGCGCTGAAGCTGACCTGTTTTGCAGGGCAATCTTGTGACCATAAGAATTGAGTAAACCAAACCTCGAGTTTGGGCGAATGATTTTTGTCTCAAAAATCCTTCTAGTTTTAGTCATCTCCTTACGTTTTGGTGTTTCTGTATTTATCTTGACTCTGCTTTAAGATACGATGTTGACGATATCGACGAAGAGGCTGGGAGAAACGGCAAAGAGTAAGTGAACGCGATTTCGATTTGTCTGCCAGAGCACAGTCCAGGAGAATTACTCTGCTGCATGAAACCTCCCCCCCCCTTGTGAACCTTTTAACCCCTAAGAGTTTAAGAACGTCCAAACTCTCCTTACAGAGTATCACCCCTGAATCGAACATTAAGGTCAGGAGAATAAAGGAAATGATCACTAACTAAAGAGGCTCCTGATTGTGAAACGAATTCTCCTTGTCAGCACCTCGTGGGGAACGTAATGTAGAATATATGTACCGATTTTAGGGTGTAAGGGGTTAAAGCAGCCAGCTGGTCGCCCTCAGGAAGCTGATGCAGTACTACCTTGTTGAAAACGAATTTAAACATATGCTTTTAAAATGTAATCAGTAGTACTGTTCGTTGCAGACGTCATCATCTGAGCCGAAGACGTGTGATACCGCTGCCCAAGATGAAGGCTAACCCGGTGACCCACCCTCAAGCTCTCTTTCAAGCAGATCAGGTAAATTGACCAATCATATCCCTTGAATCTGCACGCGGGGGAATGGAATGTGCGAGTTCCGAAACCTCGCCGCTATTTTTGAACTCGTGCACAAAATTTCCCAGTCTATGCTAGCGTGCGGGACAGGGGTTGTTTGTTGCGGTCTAATTCGAGTGTAGGCTAGCTCGCAACGAACGTGAGAGCTGAATGGTATGCGAGGGAAGGAGCGGAAAAATAATCAAACAAAAGCACTCTATTGTTCATGCACTTAGACCTTCTGTCCGTCTCATGCTTGCCTCCACCGCATTACCCGCTCGAACAAAAATAAAACGCAGTTAATAGTTGAAGAAATGAACAAAAAGAAAAGACGTAAATGGAGAAATGGAGAACGCCCATTTGGCAAGCTACACTACCGCTACCTCTAGAAAGGTAATTACCCCCATCATTATCCTGCGAGAAGGCCCTCATTATTAGAGAGATTTAGCACCGCATTTACGTGAAACGGCAAACATCAGCTTGCATTTTTACGTTTTACGTAAAATAGCATGAAACTTGCTGCTTTAGCTTCGCGTGAGTTCACGTCATGTTGGAATTGAAGGCGCCCTTGTATGCTGACTTACAAGGAATAGTTTTGGTGCCCACTTTGCGGGAAACAAGGTCACGTGGTCACTCTTGCCGTTCACGTTTCAGGTAAACGCGGTGCTAAAACTCTCAATTAGCGCTTCGGCACGAGCGATTCTTCACTTCAGGAAAATATGAGGCCTTAGGCAGTGTGAGCGGGCAATAGGTCTGCGAGGTCTACCATGTCCTGTGTTCACTTATTTAATGCACAGTTACTTCATACAGTGTGGAGGCGCGGTGGCCTCATGGTTGGTGCGCTCGACTCCGGATCGAGTGGTCCGGGATCGAGCCCCGGCCGGAACATTGTGTTGTCTTCTAAGGTTAGATACTTTACGCTCACAGTTCCTCTCTTCACCCAGCTGTTTAAATAGGTACCGGCAAATTTAATGCTGGGGGGCAACCCTGAGATGGACGAGCATTCCATCCAGGGGGAAGTAGAAATACTCTTAGTCGCTTCATCCTACAGAAGCCGGAGTTAAGCACCAGCCTAATGGGCCACTAGGCTCGTAAACAGACTTTACCTCACTACATACAGTGGAATCCCGATTTCTCGAACCTCCAGGGGAAACGCAAATTGGTTCGAGAAATCGGGCGTGAAATTACAAGTGAAGCAAATCCAAGGAAACAAGGTTTGGTTCGAGATATCGAGAGGTTTGAGAAATCTGTAATTCCACTGTAATAGCTTCCCTTATAGATACTCTGTGCCCAGTAAAACTTCATTAGGTTGTAAATATGGATAAGACATTAACTTGTAGATCTTATCGTTGTTTTTAATTCCCTGAGATTGTGATGGCGCTGTACCCACAAACCACATGTTTTTACAAGGCGGTCATTTACGAGCCTCCTTCAAGGGTAAGTGGGCGTATCTCTGGTTTCAGTCTTAAATGTGTAAATTGATAATTTGTTGGTGGACCGAGATATCGGCCGAATGTTGAATGACCATCACTGACAGTTGACCGATTTATCGACCAACTGCTGACAGATTATCGACTGACAGTTGACCTCTATGTCTACCGACTACGACTGACCATCAACCGTCCACAGATATCGACCGACTGTCGACAGACCATCGACCGGCAGTTGACCAAACTATATCAACTGACTGAGAACTGTCTCTCAACCGACCGAAAGTGAAAGCTTGGTCACTAATAAGCCCTTTTGGAAACCAACTCATCCGTAGAATCCCTCTCGCTGAACGATCATGGGTTGTTACACCCCCCTTGTGGCTTAAACGTGGCTAATCTGACATTCCCGAGAAAAAGCATTTTAATTTTTAGAGGATCGTTATACAAATAACATTTATTCTAATGATGTGTTATGTTTAAGGGTGTGTCTTATTTCGCAAGTCAGGAAGATGCCAATTGAATCAAGACATTTTTCTCTTGTAATTCTTATTGCAGCCTCAGGATGACTATTCTGTGTCATTTGAAGATACTTCCTATGCTGATGGCTTCGCTCCTCCTCTAAATGTGCCACAGCGATATGTGGTGGCGTCCAAAGAGACGAAGAAAAGATAGCGTTGCAGACCTTCTTTGTGAATTTACACTTGGGTCTTAACGATAAGGGTATCCTTGGTGCCCTAAAAAATTGGCGCTTTTGGAAGATTACCAGCTTATCCCTTATAAGGTTTTCTGGCTTATGGCAAGCCGGCTTGGATCTGAGGACTTGAGAATTTGTAATTTTTCGTGTCGTGTTCAAGAACTTTTCAAAAGCAAATAACCCCCTCATTCCTAAGAGTGACTGGCATCTCATTTCTCCTCACACGATCACTAGTGAATCAAACGTTAAGGTCATGAAAATAAAGGAAACAATCACCAACGAAACTGTGACCTCGTGATTGTCTTGCAAATTCTCCCTGTTAGAGTCATAGGAAATGTATATGGGGAAGTAAGGAGAAGATACATTTAGATGTTAGGGCATATAAAGTTAAAGTGAATTGATGCGGCTAAGAAGAGAAATATTGTTTATAGCTACCCAAAGATACCACAATCCAACTTGTGAGAGCACTCCCCTCCAACCGCTGTGGCCCGGGTTCGATTCCCGGACCTGGCATCACGTGTGGGTTGAGTTTGTTATTAGTTCTCGTCCTTGCTCTGGGGGTTTTTCTCCCTTCACAAAAACCAACATTCCAAATTCCAGTTCGAGCTGGAAACAGTGGACAAGAAGAGCCACCCAGTGGAATGTCCACTGCTGAATTATAATTATTATTATTACTAAGGGAATTTATGGCGAAAGTTCAAAGGTGTCGCAAAAGGAAAACGCAGGGTCCGTACGAGTCCTGAAAAACCCGGTACGAGTCCTGAAAAACCCGGAAAGTCCTGGAATTTTATTCTGACTGGAAAGTCCTGGAAAAAGAGTACAGGTTCTGGATAATCCTAGAAATTTGCTTAAATGAAGCAGTAAAGTTTTCAGAATTTACGTCATAAGAAATTTGTATGGAAATATTGAGAATGAAAGGGTTAAATGTGAAATTTGGAGTCCTGGAAATATCAATCTGAGCCTAGAAAAGTCCTGGAAAATTTCTAGAAATCTGGATTAACGAGTTTTACTTTAAATAAATACTGAAAAACGAAGAAAACAACAACAAAACAAAAAGTGTTAAATACTGCATTTGGTGATAAAACGGTTTACCACCGAGTGTCGAGACACTTTACGCTTAAATTTATTTTAAAAAGTACACATCAAAATCTGTTGTAATTTAATTAAAACTGCTAAACCAATTTTTCTTTATACACCTTTTAGTTACGATATAATATACAGTTTAATATCAACTAGAGAGAGGAAAACTGTTTTGAATACTTAAAAATTCCGCTTTAGACAACAGATCTATAGACGGAACGCCGGGTATAACATAACGAAGTAACATAATTCATACCCTGGAGTCCCCTTGGTGTTTTAAGGCTAACGATTTATTTTTAAATATCAAAACTGGGCCACTTCGTTGTGGTACAAAATGAAGTGTCCCCGTAACATATCTATACATCCTGTTCATCTCTCGAGGTTGAAGTATCAGCCATCTCATCTTCATCATCACTTAGGGGTTCATAACTATCTGAAAGGAGAGGAGCTGGTTCCTGTGGCCTGAGCAACAAGGACGAGCTGCTGGGGCTTGAGCCTGGGGCCAGATTGACCGCAAACGAATGGGGCACCGGCGAAGAACGAGCACTGCTAGATGCAGAACCCACATTGAGTGATAAGGAAGAATAAGGGAAAGTCATACGAGCGGCTAAAGAAACTACGGATGGGTGGTGACTCTCGGTAAAAGGCCATGGCGGAAGAGGTGAGGTGCGGTCACCCCTAGATGGGTGACTGGGTGATTCGGGTGGCGCGGGAGAAATGGGGATCATATTGATGTAACACTCTGTTCGTGACGTAGCTTCTTGACTCGACGAAACTCTGTCTGGAACTGAACAAGTGTCACCACCATTGCCTATCAATGAGCTAGAGACCGGATTTGCATTTGACGAGGATGACTCTTCGTAAGGTTCCGTGGTTGGTTCGTCCTCAGACTCCCGTATTTCCCCTTCGGACAACTGGTCATCGTCCTCAGATTCCTTGCTTTGAGATGGAATTTGATCACGATTAGCCGTTTTGGTTGTTGTCTCCGGATGCTTGGTGGACTGAGGTGTAGTCATGGGTTCACCGTGGAAGAGTGGACTAGCTTTATTACTCAAAGGTTTGTCTTCAGAAGACAATGGTTCGTCCTCAGACTGACTGCTCTCTTGCGAGGGAGGAATCTCTCCATCTGAGAGTGTATCGTCCGTGTGATGAGTTTCTTCATTTGGACTTAAAACATCTGATGGCTCTTCTTTGGGAAACGATGTCTGCTCTGTGTCCTCCACTTCTTTGTCAGCAGATACTTCATCACAGACTGAACCCTCATCAGACGGAACTTGAGTGGAACCTCCAGATCTGACATCTGGTGAAGCTACCTCTCCCTGTAGTGGAACAAACACTCCAACAAAGGTCGAGTAAGAAACCTGTTCATTATCATCGGACACACAGTCTATTGCCGAGCTGATTTCCGGATGGTTGGTGTCTGAAGGGGAGCTGTAGGTGTCAGGCTCCGCAAGAAATCCATGTCCAGTCGTAGGAGGTTTCTCAAATGCGTCCGCTTCACTTGTTTCGTTCGATTCGTATTCTTCGTTTTCTTGGTCCGATAAAGTGGACACGACTTTATTACTTGCTGTTTCAGAAGCACCTGGACACACATAGTTATCTTCACCTGGTTCCAGCGGCGACGGCGATACAGACCGTATATCGGTCACAATGGAAGTTACTTCACTTGGTTGCGTTAACCCTGGCTTTACAGTGGTTGACGCGTTTTCATCTGGCTCCAAGATAACGCTATCATCTCCGATGTTATCACCTTCAACATTACCATTCTTTTCCAGAGTCGAGACCTCACCTCCATCAGGGCTTAAATTAGCTGAACTATCTGGTATTTCTTGGAAGGTTTCTAGCTCGGGCGATTCGAACTGCGATAAATCTGTGGCTCTATCTGTTTCACTGCTACCCACTTTGACGTCTTCACTGGATTCTACCACTACAACATCGTCCTTGTTTATGCTGCTTAATGTCTGTTCAGGTAATGCCCCCAGAGAATTATTCTCCACAGCGGTTGAAGGAGAGCTCTGTGAGGGTTTACAATTTTCTTGTTCAAATACATCAGATTCTCTATGAAACTCATTACCTGAAGTGACATTTATCTCTCCTTTCTCTGCACTAGGATCTGGGCCTGGGAGAGGTTTTGTAGCCGCTACAAGTGAACTCGATGTGGTTGGGGAATATGCGGATGAATCATCGCGTTTTACGTTGAGCAACTCCTCACTGCGAGGTTTTGAACTTGTCACAACGTCCTCAGGAGCAACACTTTCCTGTCTGTCGTCACAGTTTGATACTGTTTTATCGATTTCCACATCTTTGTTATCAGAGGAGACTTCTGACGAGCTTGGCTTGAAGAGAGGTGAATCATTGGAGGAGTGGTCGGTATCAGGTCTATTTTTGTCATGAAAGAAGCTATCGTGATTGGCAGGTTTGTCAACCTCGGAGCTATCAATGGATTGAGTACATGGCTTCATTGTTGAACTCGATAGCATCTCATCACTACTCTCAGGTAGATTCTCTGACTCCTCAGCGGATAGAGTTTCACTGTCACTAGGTTCGTAATAGGACGACTGCGAATGACCCTGGGAGCTCCTCCTTGTCAGTGCCAATATGCGTGGATGGACTGGAGGGACCTCATCTTCAGTCTCCACGTCACCTTCGTCACCCTCTTCTGTCTCGCTACCAGACCCATGGGAGATTGGTACTTGTGCACACAGCCCACGCTGCAGTGGAACCAGATCTTCATCACTAGAAACAGATTGTGATTGTTGATACGGAAAACGTTTTGCTCGCCAGGATTGTTTTATCCTTTGATCTACGTTTTCTGCTGGGTCCTGTCTTAAAAACAAGTGATCAGACTGCAGAGGCGGTTGCGCACTTTCTACGCTCTCTGTATCCTTCCTTGCCCATGATCTTCGCATCTCATCCGCGTAAAAGCCTACTCTTTGGGTGATCTCTGTTAACACTACATTTGATGGTCGCGTTACTGGTGGACAATCCCCTGCTTTGTACATCCCAGCGAAGGGAGGTTGGGAAGGATTCAGGTGATGTCTCGATGGATGTTGCAATTCAGCATGAGTAGAGTCAAGATAATTGGTTGTTTCAAATATAGTTCTTACTTGGGGCGGCCTAACTGACTGTGGTAACGAGGAAGGCTTCTTTGCAGTGTTATCACTAATCTGATGTGAGGAAGTTTGGGAAGATTCTTGAAGATGTTGACCAACCTTTCGCTGAACGTCAGGTTCCATATTTTGAACACTTCGTGTAAATGGTTTATCAGACGGAGTGGGCTCCTGGTCTGGTCGCTTAAGAGTAACAACGTTGTCTTGATTAGATGCGGTCTTTCGTGAGTTGTCGACACGTTCTGGACTTCTCAGATCCATAGCAACTGTTGATGCAAAGCCTTTAATCAAGGGAGGTGGTCCCTTTGAGTTCAGTCCTTGTGATGCACTACTTGAAGTAGGACTAATAACTGTGTGTGGTATCAGTGGTGGAGGGCCATCCGGGCTCACTGAAGCCCTTGTTGATCGCACATCAGGAGGTGATGTGAGCTTGCTTGGACTACGCGATACCAAGCCAGTTCCATGACTTGTAATTGACACGCTGATGGGGGTGGTGCTAGAACTACTTCCCTCTTGCAAAGGTCTCATTCCAGTGATGGGCATGAGAGGTGGAGGTTTTGGAACAAGCCCAGTAGTAATTCCATATCGTGGTGTGGAAGCTCCAGGTGACGTTCTGGAGGGGCTTGGGGGTGATTTCACTCTCATATGTGACGCTATGGAATGCCCTCCTTGCCTTACAGGAGGCGATACTCGTACATCAATGGCTTCCTTCTGTGGCAAGTGTTCTCCCGCTGGAACATCAACTTTCCTTGCTGCCGCAGCAACATCAACTAAAGTGGCAAAGGCAGCCATTGGTGAAGATTCTACCGAAGACCCTGCTTTGTCCTCTTTGGAAAGATGCTTTGTTTCTTTAACGAATTCCTCTTCTGTAAGTGTGGCTGTTTTCTCCCCGTGAGGGTCTTCCCTTGTAGGTATAATCACAACTGGTTGTGGATCAGGAAATTTTTGAACACTTCCCTCAGTATCTGCTAGCTCTGGAATAACAGCAGCTCGATTGCGCATCTCAGAAACAGAAGCTGGCCTTGAAGGTATTCTCGATAGGTAGGAACTTGTTGGTGGCGAAACAGTTTTTGCTTCTTCACTATGAGCGGGAGTCTTTAGTTTCATCTCAGGAGAAAGTGGATTTGAACGTGGTGCAGATTCCTTTGGCGAGCGACTAGGAAGGGGGAATTTTGGTAGTTCACCAGATGACACGACTTTTTCCACCATTCCAGGGGCATACATATGCCTCTGCTGTTTAACAACAAAAGGGTTAGCCAATTCTTGCTCTGATATTTCATTGTGACGTCTGCCTGGCCCTTCAAGTGAATGATGAACAACGCGTCTTTCCTCACCTAAGGGTACAGGATATGGATGACCATAAACAGACATTGGTGGGTATGTTGGCACCACAGTCCTTAAACTAGCTGGACAATATGCTGCTCCTTGAGGATAGTGATGAGGAAACGCCCCACTAAGCTTTAAGTGACTGGGTAGATCCTCGCCATTTACACTATGTGGGAGCAATTCACGCACGGGTACCCCAACTGGAACCAGAAAACGTTGTTCTGGGTGATGGGGCAAACTTCCCACTGGATGCCCCATGTGGAAGGGATAACCATACGGTGGAGGTGTCGAGGTGCCAGCTGCATGCGGGAGGCTGTGGGCCAGAGGCTGATGCGAAGCTGACATTGGCATCAATCCATACACCTGACTCGAATATTCTCCACCGACAGGTAACTCGCGAGATGCTGATAAGCAAATGGTACCCGATTTATACTTTCGTATCGCTTCATTCTGCTCATAATCGTTTACTTTAACATCAGGATACCTCGGAGGAAGGTACGTTTCTTCTTTTCTCTTCTTTCCCACCTTTTCAGTCACTTCTAAACTACTTGTCTCAGCTGAAGCATACCTTGCCATGGCTTGCAAATGGGCCCGGGCAGATGATGAACCTTGTGCTATGGCTGGTGATATTGCAGTCGGGCATACTGGTGATGCACTGCTAACCTCTCTTTCGCTCGTTAAGTCAACAGTCTCTACCACTACGGATCGCTTTTCCCTTTCACCTCCTCTATTATCGACGGGAGTGTGTGTTCGTCTTGGTACATCTCTGACAGTAGAGGTTTCCTGAACAACATTACGACTACGATCGTGGTAGGCCTCACCTTCCCTGAGTCGAGAAGTTTCAGGTGGCAAATCGTGTGCTGTGATGTACTTTTTGTCTCGTGAAGAAGGCACTTGTATCAAAGGCGGTGGGGGATTTAGGGTTTGGGGGCGCATGGCGAAATTGCTCGGTGGGGTGGCACTCTTTCTAGATCGTAAATCAGTGTGGCTAATGATGCGGTCGCCAGACGACAGCGGAAGACTTTGTGGTCGCACAGGTTCTGTCACTGGTGGTATGTGATCTCCCGATGATGTTGGCCCTAAAGAAAACATGAGAAGAATAAAGAATTTAATCAAATGTTAGAACTTAAGCAAAGCCTCACTCTTGAGAGCCACTCACTGTAAATATCGAGAATCCACTGACAATTGCAAAATTTCGTAATTCATTTTATTTTTTCTAAAGGACCCTTTTAATGAACCTTTTTCGAAAAATACATAAAAAAGTTCTATCGCCTTTTTTTTTTCTCTGAAAAATCGGAAAGTTCAAAATACTCCTAGATGGCCGTTGTCCCCCCCGTATAGCAATGAAAAATTACGCAACTTCGGCAACTTTCATTTCTTTACGGGGGATGGACAACGGCCATCTAGGCGTATTTTGAACTTTTCGATTTTTCTGAGAAAAAAAGCGCGATAGAACCTTTTCATATAATTTTCGAAAAAGGTTCATTAAAAGGGTCCTTTAGAAAAATAACATGAATTAGGAAATTTTGCGACTGTCGGCGGATTCTCGATATTTACAGTCGATGGCTCTTAAGACACCTCTACTTGGGGAACTGTTTCTGTCAGGGGCACAAACTTTGGTCCCAGCTGGCAAATTTTCCTTTCTCATAGGGAGGCATGATCATTATTCGAAGGAGTTGGGTAGATTTAATTATCAACAGCAAAGAAAAGGTGGCAATGTAAATACAAAATTCTAGAGTGAAGCTTACCGTTTCCTCCAGATGCCAACATTCTCAACATGCTTGAAGCTTGCTTTCCTTCTCCTGTGTCAAGCTGGTGAAAACCTTCCATCCTCCTTTTTTGATCATCTTCTATGACAATTACATCAGGTTTAGGCACATCCCTTGTATATGACACGCTTTCAGGGATCCTTGGATTCTTCTTGACCACTTCCGGGCTAGCATCTAGAAAGTAATTTTTAATAACTGCTGAATGAAAGGTACACTCCAAATACCAATAATTTTTTTAAGCAATTTCTGCGTAATGCGTTTTAACATTCCGAAGAATTATCCAGCCTTTCGAAACTTTACTTCGACTACAACTTGGACGCTGCCACTTTTAATACTATTTAGCAACCATGCTGCTTTCTTATGACTTAACAAACTTCAGAGCACAACATGGCTGCACTGGATTTTTGGCACATTTCACGGTAATTTCGAAAGGTTAGGTTCCTCTTTGAAATCTCAACGCGCAGGTTGTCTAGAGTGAGTTCAGATGTACAGGGTTATCACACATCCCAAACTGCTAAAGATGCAATGGTTTCGCAGAACTCAAACTATTCTGGAGGACAACAATCCTCAGTTGAAAGGTCATAAGACAAATTTCTACAAGGCAAAGAAACAACAACAAAACAAAAACAAAACAAAAAAAAGAAAGAGAATTGTTAGTTAAAAGGAGATTCATGGTGGGGATAACTTTTCGAGGAGAGACAGTGTCTGAATCCGCAAAGGGTGAAGATTCATGCTTAATGTTATATAGAAAATAATTATAAACTTAGTAAATAGATTTTTTAAATATCAACCTTAGACTCACATAGTAAGTCTTGGCACCTCCATTCCCCTTTCCAGTGATGAATAATGGAATGCAAACTTCAGTCTGCGACATAATTTTTTTCAACATTGTACAGAAGTAGGAAAAGGTGAAAATCACGCATAGAAACATTTTCCATCCCCCATGACCAGGGTTGTAAGACACCGATCTGCATTTAACCCATACAGAAAGCTATGTTTATGGTTAAAAACCTGTTACTAAAATCACTAAAAGGTTTGGATATTCATACACGAGAATGAGTCTTAAGAATGCATTACCCAACTAAATCAAATAGCCTGGCTATAGGATCATCAGTGGGAACTCAGAGATTTGTTTTCGACCTTTGACTGCTCCTCTTCTTGTGACTTTTCAAAAATGTTTTACCTTGCAAAATGCTTGCGGTGGATGGTTCATAACGTGCCACCCCTTGATACGAATAAGATGGTTTGACAGATGAATCCTGTGCCGTCAACCGCTCAGTGGAATGTGGTACTTGACTTGGAGTCTTTTCTCTCTGATCAGACGAAGTTTGTGATACCACAGGTACAGGGGAATGACTAGCAGGTCGACTGAGTGCGAGGGTGTTTATCACACCTACGGATGGAACTGAAGGAGCAAAGAGAATAGAGCTTGTTGGAGTTTGGCCAGGTTCAGATGGGTGCGAGGAATGTCCATACACACTACCAACATGTGACTTGGTAGTAAGAGAGATACCAGCGTGTGCCATTATAGGGTGAGATGAACCAGGGTGCAATACCCCTTTATTTGAATAAGTAATGCTAGGTGACGATGATGAGGATGCATGCAACGTAGCAGTGTGTAGAGGGTCTGTACTGTACGCGATGGACTTGGGCGTGGCAGATCCGTGATGAATGGGATGCGAGTCCGGATGAACGTAACCTGGTCGCGTTGAAACCAAATATGGAGCTCTTAAATGCGATAAATCGGACTGCAAGACTCTTGGACCTACTGGTCTCGGATATACAATTCCAGAAAATATGGTTTCTGGTTGTGGTGATCGTGAGGAACGAGTGGACTCGGGCTTCGAATATTCAGGAATTGGGTGTCGAATAAATACTTGATGTGGTTGCCCAGTTCCCACATTAGGCGAGGCTCTACCAATGGACGCAATCACACCTGGAGTGGGCATGAATAGAGTGGAGCTTGAGCTTGTCAAAGGAAGATGAGGGGAATGAGAAGGGACTATCCTTTGGAGGTTGGAGATGGACGACGCTACTGGAGAGGTCGTTGTAGGTTCTTTCAGGGGTCCCACCGCAGTGTTAACTGCACTAACAAACACCGAGGTGGACTCTTTACCACTGGTGGAAGCAATATTGCTATTGGAAGAAGCACTGCTTGGTTTATTATGTGGATCTGACGAACGAGAATTGTAGTCGTCTGATGGTTGTTGGGCTAAGGTATGTTTAAGGTGTGATTCCCGCCTTTGAGTAGTGCTAGGGCTGTCTTTGTGATGTTCCTGTGGATTTGGATGTGGCTGTGGCTGTGGCTGTTTATGTGGGTGTGGCTGCTGGACACGTAGCATCTGTGAAAGCAACAAAAAAGTTAACTCCCTCCTTGAGGAGTTACCCCACAGCTGGTAAACAGAACTCTATGATTTATCCTGTTCGTTTTCAGTTGAGTGTGTTTTTTTCTATAAATGTTGTGCCGCGTAGCACTATAAACACAAATGGTGGAACAGAGAATTAACTCTGAAGCGCCAATTAAAGTGCTAAGTGAAACCCATGAAAAACCCACTGGGCGTTAGCCCTAGTAAAGGGTAACAAGGTACCACACGAGGTAAAGAAAAAAATTCTTATGACCTCGGTGAGAATCGAACCCACGACCTCTGGATCAAATCTACCGTTGCTCTGTCGACTAAGCTACGAGGTCGAACAGAGAAAGTCGAGGTGGATTAATTTACGCATAAGAGTTAATTCTCTGTTCCATCATTTGTGTTTTTTTTTTTTCTACTTGGTGAATGGCTAATGACATTTATTTTTGACCGTCCATACTTTTGATCAGGCAGTCTGACTATCAGGGCGAGAGCAGTCCTGAGAAGGACGACTGTCTGTAAAGAGGAATGATGTTTCGATCATCTTAGCACAAGTCATCGGCAAAGTCAAGTGATGAATTCATCAAAACGTTTAGCACCATCTCTGTAAACAGTCCTTTTTAGGACTACCCTCACCACGACGATTAGACCACACGATGAAATGTGATCTCCGGGTCGAAAGCATTTTCTGTATTCACGATTTATACCGCTAAAATAAAGTACGTCCTTCAGAATCAGTCTTTTCTCATATTTACGAACGCAACACATACTCTTATAGGTTTGAGGAGAAACTCTGCTCTTTACTATGCTTAGCTAATCACCTTAGTAGCCTCATGTTCTGCAACAAGTGCTTCCAAGTGCATTTTTTTCTTGTAATTGAAGTAGAAGTTCTTACACTGAGCACCAGTCTTGGTTATAACCCGTCGAGCTATAGCTTCCCAATCGCGACCGCACTCTCTCAGACCTGTGTAAAAATCACCAACTGGTTAGTTTCTCATACATCTCAGAGCTTTCCGGCCCAAAAGAACCAAATCAACATAAAATCAAACAGAAAGCCTACTCCTAACCCCTTGCTAAACCCCCTTGAAGCTTTTTTTTAAGGACTGAAGGTAGAAATTTTTTGCGGCATTGCATTCTGAGACTTTTTTCTAGCGAGAAGTAGTGTTGGTTCAAAATCTTGAAAATTTTTTAAAGTTGAACCGACATTACGTTCATGCTGTACATAATATGAAAATTTACTGGCATAATTTACTGAAGTTGGAATCATTTTTGTCTACTTAAGTGTGATTGGTCAGTTTTGTTCACGTGACCCCTGTGACAGAAGTTCGTGGCAAACTCACCTTGAAGGGCAATCGCTATTTCTTTCTCACTCCAACGGGATGTCTCCACAGGATGATCTAAAGACAATAATCATAAAAATGTAATAATAAGTTTCAGATTCTGCTGCCTTCCTTATCAAAGGGACCATATTGTGATGTTTATTCATTCTTTTCTGTTGTTCATTCCAGCTCCCTTGTAGTTTGTTTAAAAGCTACTTGAGCAAGGCGTTGGTTGTAAAAGTCATGACAAGGAAACAAGTCAATCAGTCACCATACCTGGTCTCCCTGTGTACCTAACTGAAGGGGTGGGCGCGGTCACAGGAGCTGTAGTCACTGCGGACGGAAGGTGTTCCTCTTCACTCTCATCTGCCGAATTAGTAATTTCCCCCGAGTCATCACCTCCTTCAAATCCACCTTTAGTACTGAAATGACAAATAATACCTCAGCTTTGCTTTGGACCAAGACAGTGAAAGCCAATCCTCACAAAAAGGTCACGATTCTGCCGTAAGCCATACCATAATGCTGCCATGATAAGCTGTAAATTATCTACAGTAAGCATGCCTACAACCTGGTTTGTCTGTGCAGCAGAGTCTAAGACACTTCTCGGAAAATACTTGCCTATAATGTAACTGGCATCATTATCTACCTGCTTTCTGAAATGCCTCCCCTTGACTTGTTTGTAGGAGCGCCCTCACGACTACTTCCAAACTGTGAAGTGAAAACCCCTTTCAAACTCATGAATAAATCTAACAAAAAGTTAAAACATTTGCTACTTAAGATTTTGTTGTAAAGTATATGAAAATCAGTCAATAGTTACTAACTAGCTTGTTACAGGTTAACGATCAGAGAAAACAACGAGAAAGCTGCGAGGTGAATGCGATATGAAGGGTGTTTCGTTTGCCTCTCTGACATAAGACAGAAAGCTTAAAACAAACCAAGAATTGACCACAACAACGTCTCATTTCGCCAACATAGCGGATATGGAGAAAAGTAGGGATGGAGGGAATTGAAGAAAAAAAAATGAAACGTTGCAACTTAGGTTCTGCCCAACAGTTTTTCAGAAGTTTGCCTGTGTTTAACAATAACGTAAAAGAAACATATTCTATTATAGATTGTTCTTAACAAGTGAATTTCTAGGGTTTTTCATTAGCAGCCAGAAGGGGTCAATTCAATAAATTCAGCCTGCACACAACAACAAATTTGCATACTTGATCCCTCCTCCTTTTCTTGAAGTTGTGTCTTCGGGACAACTGTTTGTAATGTTCCTTTTTCTTTGTCTGATAGTAAAACAGGATACAGTCTCCAACACTCTGTAAATGGAAATTAAAAAAGCTTAGGAACAGAGAGGGGAGCTCATGTTATACTTCAATTTCATTTTGCACTATTCCACGATAATACTGAATTAACCCTTTACGCCCTGACATCAGTATGCATATTCTCCATACAATTCTCTGTACAATTCCCAAGTAGCTGACAAGGAGAATTCGTATAACAATCAAAAGTTTCTCTAGTTGGTGATCATTTCCTTTATCCTCCTGAACTTAATGTTTGATTCAGGGGTGATATTGTAAGGAGAAATTAGATGCTAGTCACTCATAGGAGTCAAAAAGTTCAATCCTGTACAACCATACACAATTTTCAGGCCTGGATTTGCCACAGCATATAAGAACAGTAAACTTAAAGACATTATTACTTTTTCTTCACTTTTGTTCTTTATATGCACCTAATATAGATGGGTGATTGAAATCACAGCATACATACTCTATACAGGTTTTGCACAGCAGCCATGTTGGATGGCAGGAACAATAGATTATTTTACGCATGGGAAAAAATTTTCCTTTCTTATGCAAAATATTTTCATTGTTCCTGCCATCCAACATGGTTGCTGTGCAAAACTTCTATTACTAAACATAACTAAGGGAAATTGTAGCAAATGCTGTTGGAAAGTGCTCAATTCACATGAGTGTAAAGCGAAATGCAGATCAAAATGACTAAAATGAAACATGCATGATTCCCTGTAACTCTGAGTTTCGCGCTTATGCACTTGTCAGACAGATTTAATGAGAAACATTAGTGTAGGCTAATTCATAAATACATCTAGATAAAAAAAAAAGTAGCTACTGATTACAATAGGTTGTTGATATATAATGGGTGAGAAAAAGAGAAAATTGCAATGTAGCGGGGAAGTGTCAGATGTTGTTTAGATGAAACTGTCTTGTTTTCATGACGGCATTTGGATATAAGTTCGTATCTTTTATTCAGTAAGTTGTTGCTGTTAGGCTTAATAATTATGAGTTTTTCGGTCAGGCAAAGGTCGCATCTTTTCGTACAATAGACTTTTGTCAACATATTCACAACTACTGCCTCACTGTCCATTAATACATCCACACTCATTGTAATTTTCTCTTTTTCTCACCCATTATATATCAACAACCTATTGTAATCAGCAGCTATTTTTTCCTTATCTAGATGTATATATAAATCAGCCTACAAGAATGCTTTTCATTAAATCTATCTGACAAGTGCCTAAGCACGAAACTCAGAGTGACAGGGAATCATGCATGTTTCATTTTAGTCAATTTTATCCATATTACTAAACAGATATATGATTGACTAACCTTTCCAGGTAAGAATGAAGAAATAAAATCAAAGTCCTTGGGATTGTGAATAAATCTGAAAAGCAAACCTTGAACATAAGTATTCTTTATAATATAAGCATAGACCAGTACAAAGTGCCGGGAAGGTTTAAAGGCAAGAGAAAAGTGAAAACAAATGACGTTACGGGTACAAGCATTCTGGGTTAAGGGTGGATACATCTCCAAAGATACTGTGGTGCTGCATCAGGAGGGGAGGGGGGGATGGTGTCACAAAATAATTTTTATCAACTGTGTTGATAATGCAAATTGGCCACCATAAAGAGATCCTACAGCTGGGTTTAATTAGGACAGTTGAAAATTTATAATTCTTCACTTTGATAACTAAACCTCCTTAATCAAAATGACGAATCAAGATTAATTTTAAGAGCAAAAATTTGAGGCAGAACCACCTGCAAGATCTAAATCCTTACTATCTAAACAACATTTTATGTTCTTTGACTTTTGATTTATCATCTTACTGGTTTAAGTCAAATTAATTTGATGACCTGCTCCCAGTTGGCTTGTTAGCTTAATTAGTAGAGTGCTGCACTGGTATCGCAGAGGTCAGTGGTTTGAATCCCATACAGGCCTGAATTTTTTCAGGTCTGATTTTCACTATTGCTTAAATAGTGCTCTTTACTGTGAGGATCGTGCACAAATACATTTTATATTTTAGAGGTAATATTTGATAAATTAATAAAAGTATTTCTTCATTGGCCATCCAACAAAAAGAAGAACTGTTCTCACAGAGTCCTTGCTCTCTTACTTGTCCTTGAAGATCTTCCTCTCTTTCTCTGTCCATATATTCTTGTGTTTTCTTTCATTCAATGCTGCAAGTGGATCCCTTATGAGGCCTAAAGAAGGAGGAATTAGTCTGTCAACTCTCTTATGAGAGTTCTCTTCTGTCTGTAACCATACAACATCTCGTAATTAACAAATCATACTCCCTCTTCGCAGTCATTTCATTTTGTTAATCACTGTATGATTACAGATGGAGTTGGACTCCACTCATTACTATTACTTATTAAATGGTTTATCAATAAGCCAATCTCTGTGACTGAAATTGGCAGATAGACAGTGCCAAGGCCTGATAACAGACTGCCATAAAATAGAGTCATGTACATGTATCTACTTTATACAAGGTACAGCACTGACCATTACTGTTGATGAATTTTACTCTTCTTTCGTCTTTGTCCAGTAATGGTGGTGGTTCAACAGCTAACGTACGCATGTGACGTTCATTGGCCTAATAAAAAGGAATGAGCCATCTTTCACACAAAAAGTAAAATAACTAACTGCAAAAATAAAGAATATTTCAATCATAAAACCATTAATTAAAAGCAGACTGAAATTGGTCAAACTCTTATTTTCCTCTGTTGCCGAATATGATAATGACGAGAAACAAACACAGATCAAATCTCGACCAAGGATAAAAATGAAATAAAACAACAACAACAACAACAACAATCATAACATTTCTTTGTACAACAGCTTTGAAAATCAAAGAGCAAACTGTGGTACAACCATTTCTCAGGTGTCATCTATCTTTGATATAAGAGGAAAATTGAGTTTCCAGATGGGATTTGAACCCACGACCCTCCGTGATCTAGTCGGATGCTCTAACCACTGAGCTACAGGAGACTCTATGGTGAGCTCCATCTTTTGAAGAAAAAACCAACCCTAAGCCAACCATAATACTGAGCTACTCTTTAACCGTTCAACTCCCAGAAGTTATTAACATGTAACTCCTCCCTAAGTATATAAGATCCATACATTATCAAGCAAGCAAGTAATGCTGATATTCAAACATATCAGGTAGAAGTTTTATCTTGATCTAACACCAAATTTTTGTAACTAATTTAAAAGGAAATGTGTTACAGCTATATGGGAGAATTAACAATCAGATCTCAAGAGTTCAAAGGATTAAAGAGCTTTTCCATTTGGCCTTGCCCTTACCTCTTGCTCATTTAAGTTGTCAACAATCTCATTGAATTCAGCTTCACTTCTGGCCACAATACCCCAGTTACTTCTGGAGCCCATTCTGCAACAAACACATTTCATACATTGATTTCATTTAATTTAGCAAATAAATCACCTAGCACATCACAGAAAAACTGAGCAAACTTATGTTAGCCTTTGAATAGCTAGTGGGTAATACTGATTAGCATTGTGTAGCTATATATTTTTTAAAGTAAATGCATTCAAATGATCGGATATAAAAGCCTTGAATGCACCTTTTTTTTTATTAATTATCATGCGTGTTACTGCTGTATTGTCTTTTTGAAAATATAATATGCCTCATATACTTCAAAATGAAGCAATTTTTTTGAGAATAGGTACTGGTAAGTAAAGTGAGTTAACACATTGTGCACATTTATTATATCACTAGCAGTGCCCATGGGCAATACAAAGAGAATCCTGAGCTCTGATTGGTTGCCCAAGCAGGCAAGATGGGCCCATCTTTGATCCCCTCAAGAAAAACATTGAATGGAGTGGGTTTACAAAGGTTGTAATTTTGGGACAATGTCAGTGATCGAGTCACAAAAAAAAAAAAAAAATGGCAGAAGACAACCAAAACAAAGAAAACCTTAAGTGACTAATGTGGCTTCATTTTGTGCAACAAACACAGTTCACTATCTTCCCCAGATCTTTTTCAAGTAATCCTCATTATGTAACTCTCTTATGTTGGCATTATCAGTTATGGTAAGAACACTGTAATGTTAATGCTTTAAATAGTAGAAACAATGAAATAAAAGTAATAATAACAATGACGATAATTACAATGATAATCATAATTTATAAAAACAAATGAGTGTGTTGTTTCAAACAGCAAAAGACAAAACTAAATCAACTTTTGATGTAGGATTATATCAAAAAAACGCACACTATAAAAGGAGCCTTAGGTCCCACTGGACCATTTGTCAATCAACCGTCGTGTGATGTAGAATTCTTAGAGTCAAGTCAGCTTGAGCTACAGCTACTCCAAAGCAGTGAACAGTGGGCACATTCCTCAAAATTGTTTTATGCCTTCATCACAATACAAGAATTTTTGAGATTTGTATTTCCTTTCTGTCTTTATTTGTGGCGGTAAATGTGAGATTGAAATAGGTGGTTCGCACGTTACCTCATGCCACCAGAAGTAAACAATAGATATCTCATTAGCTCCTTTTGTTCATCTACCAGCATTTAAATTTGACCCGCACACGTCAACGGTGAGTGACAAATGAGCCTAGGTCTTCCCAGGGAAGACTTCCTTATATAGCGCACCTTCGTGTTTAACTCACCTAGCAAATCGTTCTGTCTGTTCTCTTTGCTTCCTGATTTCAGGAAAAACCTTCTCATAAATTTCCCTCAGTTTAGTCTCCTTTTGCCTTCATCACAAAGATACAATATTATCACGTGGAATAATCTTGAATTAGACATTAATAAAAACAATTGGGCTGTAAGTTGTTATGGTTCATAAGAAATGAAATCCTACACTGTTGCTTCCTCAATAAAACGAAGAACTTTGATTGACAAGTAAAGAATAAACAGACAGGGAAGATCTGTGTACTCACTTTCTTCTTGGATTGTTTTCATTTCTCTCAATTTTCTTTAGCCATGCTAGCTTCAAAGTCTTGTATTCTTTACAGAGTTGACGATTCTGAAAGAGAGACAAATTTCATTGTTACAAAATTCCTGATGTTTTAGACCTCCAGAGGCCCAGAGTCTACCAGTTTAACCATAACACAACTAAAGCTGCATTCACACTTGTTCCTCAAGTACAATTCTTGATGGGCACTAACATGAGCACACCTTTTTTCAAGTACCCATGCCAGAATTTGGGCACTGTGCCTTTGCCTGAGTACAGAGTCTTGACTTTCCACTTGTACACTGAACTGGGCACTGATATATGGGGTACTCAGTGTCTGAACACAACACCATTTTGTGCCGGTACCCTGGCACTAATGCTTGGGCACCAAGCGTGAACACAGCCTAAGTCACCCTTCACTTTTTAACTGAATATAAGAAGTTACTTTAAGTTACAATAAAAACACTACCTTCGTTATTTGAGAGTAGTAAGAACAAAGGAAAAAAAGAATTAAACAAACAGGTTGAGGAATTTTAAACTAAGGAAACACCAAAACACTGAACCACAACAGATGAAACATTACAATTTGAAAACTTATTTAAACAAGGAATTGAATAGAGTGAGTCATCTCTACCTTGAGTTCTTTAGCTTGCTTTCGTAACTGGAAATATTTGACCAATTTAGCTTTAATAGCTGGGGCTCTGTAACAGTAAACATTATTTTTATTATTTATAACTAGACTTCTATGTATATCTAAAATCTACCACTGACACCATTCTTATGCAAACTCTGTTGACTTATAAGTTCAATCATTGTAATGGTTGTAACCTTCAATTGCTGTCAACAAGTCATAGAAAAAACACTTGCCATGAAAGATCAGAAAAAGCAGATGATACAGATACCTCATACATGTACTTTAGGTCCTTGGAAGTTTTGTCCTTTAATGCTAGGAGCTGATCACATGGAAACAAATGGGCAATTGTCCACCTAACCATACAGTACCTCCAGCATAATGAGTCCAATACCNGAAGTTGATCCCAGTTGAGGCTAAATTACAACTTTTTAAGGCTGCTATCCTGCCTTATTTGACTTATTGTAGCACTGTATGGAACTGTTGTAAAGCTAGTGATTCTAGAAAATTAGAGAGGGTACAGGAACGGGGCCTTAGGGCTGTTTACTGTGATAGCATATCATCATATAGCGATCTTCTTAAAAGGGCTAAATTAACAACCTTGTATAAYAGAAGATTGCATGTTATAGCCGTGTTAATGTATAAAGTTAAAAACGATCTGTGTTCAAATAATATTAAGAACTTGTTTGACATAAATAATAATTGATATAATTTAAGAAACAATGATTTCATTATTCCCAGAGTAAGCACAACACGTCATGGTAAGCACTCTCTTAGTTACTTAGGTCCAGTAATCTGGTCTAAGTTAGATGGAAAGACAGGAACACTAAGAACGCTACAAGAATTTAAAAGTGCTTTACATACATTAGATATACAAAGTTTGATCTCCTTGGACAATTGCAAGAACTGTATTTTATGTAAATCTTAATATTTTATATTATCAGTATTGTATTTCTAATCTTTTACTAGGTAATTTTAATTACACAGGGTAGGTAGGATTGCATATTTTATGCATTTTTCATTTATTAGACTAGTTAGTTTAGGTGTCCTTATTTAGTGAGAAACTGCTATTGATTTGACACATTAATACAGTTTATTATTATTATTATTATTATTATTATTAATTTGTAACTTCTCCTTGTAGTATCCAAACATTATCTGCAAACAATTAATGAGAATACTCAAACCTGTCAAGTAAAAGTCGTTATCTTGATCTAACACCAAATTCTTGTAACTAGTTTACAAGGAAATGTCTAGCAGGTAGAAAGGAGAATTAACAATCAGATCTTGGGAGTTTAAGGGTTAGCTATGGAAAGTGGCAACCTAATATTCAAATGATTACTCTGCAAACCTTTCCTCCTGGAAGTGGCAGACTTAGCTTCACCAGTCTTGCTTCAGCTGTTTCAGCCTTTTTCTGTAAACAAGATGATCACGACACTTCAAACATCCTGAGTATAGTTAATGTTTGGATGCCAGGAGTGATGTTTGATGGTGTAGCCTGATCATTCAGGAAAGAGTACAGTCTTGAGAAGGATTACTGTTTTTGATAACCATGGAAGAAGTCATCAGCAGAATTGACTTCCACTATGAATGTCAGTTGTCTGTCATTACTACCAACAACAATCCTTCTCAGAAGTACTCTTGCCGAAATGTTTGGACTACCCCTGTACATGATCAAATCGCAGCTGAGTGATGACACTCACAATATTACACACACATGGAGCTATTCTATTCTTGCCATTCAATGGTTTGTGATATGCTTGTAAAATCAATTTGCTGTCCGCTTTTTCATTCATAGATAAGATACAGTATGTTAAAATGTTTTGGTTAATTTCTTTTTCTGCAATTTCTTTAATTGCCGTTTGGCTGCAAGGATCAATGTGTTTCTTGTATATCATTCACAAGTCAAATATCAAATATTATTACCGGAAATAATAATATTTTATGAGAACAAAGAATCTTCTAAAATTTTCCTTGTTCACAACCTATGGTCTCATAGCTCACTTGGTAGGAATGCCAAACTATTATCTGGGAGGAATGTAAAATTCTCCTATTCAAGTTTTAATTCACACATTCACTTGTTGACTATTTCTAAGTATTAGCAGTTATAGCATTACTACCAGAATTTGACTTATACATGTAGATTCCATGTTGGGTAAAAGTAAAGAAAAACTTTATTTAGCCAGGATGGCTCCTTCAGCTATACGACTGTTATCAAGAGGGGCCCTGATAAATGTTGTCAGGCCTATGTTCCATAGTAAATCACAGATGACCTCAAAATGAGGTGAAGACAAAAACAGTGGCACATCAGGGGTAATATATTGTGTCAATGACGTTCTTGTGACATGTTGATGCCATTCTCACATTCTACCACAATTTCATCATTCCTGGTAATAGACAAATTAAAGTACCCAAACTATTAATATTCTGGTTCCTTAAAGTTCCTTATAAATCAGGTTGGACTTGTGTAATGGAGCAGGCAATAAAATAATAAATTAAAAGGAAAACCTTTGAAGTTTGATCATGAGATACCTTGTTTTCCTCATAAATCTTCTGAATGATACTTTTGGGTTTAGGTTTTGGTGGTGGCAGTTCTTCCTCTGGTGGCTCACTGGGCTGTTTTGAAGCCTCTTCTTCAAGCTGTTTCTAAAATCATATTTAATCAATTCATATTAAGTAATGAACCCTTTTGCACCTTACCGTGAGTATGCAAACTTTCCATACTATTCCCTTTTCAGTTCTCATGGTGTTTACAAAGAGAATCTGTTTATCAATCAAGAGCTTCTATACAAAATGTAGTTCATGATCATTTCCTTTACTCTCATGAACCTTAATGTTGATTCCAAGGTAAAATCAAGCAAAAAAAAACCTAAAAAAAAAAAAAAACCAATGCAAACATATTGAACATATCTAGCCCACTAAAAAGGGGACAAATAGCAGAGACAAAGGTCACACCAGTTGAAAGCAAGATCCAACAAGTACATCTACAGCACACAAATGATAATTCGACATACTGGCAACAGACCCAACAAATTCTTTCCAAACCTACTTCACCAAGTCTAACCTGTTTTTTCTTGAGGTTATTGATCTGTTGTTCCACCTGTGTGATTTCACTATCCACCTTCTCCATCCCCCGAAGAAGCTCATCTTTAGACATCAGATCAGAGGTATCTTCTGTCATTGCCTTTTTTTCTTCACTTTGGCCTTCAGAACCTACCAAAATATTTCTCAGTTAGTAATATGTACTCTATGCAATGAACACATGTTGAGTGAGTCAACGCCATATTGTGTGCCATATGGGATCACATGCAAAAGAAAGGCAAAAAAGACGAGAAGCTAATACATGGATACCTGGAGCTGATGGAGATACTGCTTCAATAGTTGGGCCAAGGTAAAAATCCTGTTAAATGTAACAAATCCATTCCATTACAAGGTTATGTCTATATCACATTTAAGTAATAATTATATACATTTAATAATTATTTGCCCAAGGTGAGGTGAATATCGTAGAATAATCCCCTAGACGAAGTTGAGGGGATTATTCGACAATATTCACCAAACCTGAGGCGAATAATTGTTTTAGTATAATTTCACAGCTGAACAACAGAGAAATTTCTAAAATCATAACATTTTAGTAACATTTATTAACATTTTATTTTAACATTTTATATAAACCGTGTGGAGTGGTTGATATAGCGTCATATAAGGAACTGCTCGACCAATCAGATTGCTGTAAACTCTTTGGTCAGCTCTAAAAATTATACTTAAAAGGAATATAAAACTTAAAGAAAAATATTTTTAAACAATGAATCATCTAAATGATAAAAATGGAGGAAACTGGTGTATGAATGTAGGAGGTTAATATTTTCTTGTGGCTTAAACTTTTCTAATGAGGGAGTGCTTAACCTCTGCCATACTTTATGAAATGCAATGTTTCCAAGATCTTGACAGCTTTTTGAAAATGGTGATCTTAAAAAGTATTTTCTGTTTTTCGGATTTGTGCACAAGTAAAACTGATCTTAAGTTCCTACCTGGGCTAAACTGAGTCATTCAAAGCTTCGAGTACTCATGTAACTGCGTTCTTTTGTCTTTGTTGGCTGGTACCAAAAACTTCCTGTGGGGTGTTACATACATACATACATACATACATAATTACATACATACTTACATACATACATACATTTATTTGGTAAAGCAGGTTAAGTTAATACAATGGCAGCAAAAAGCTGATGTGGACCTGCAAAATAAATTAGATAAAATAAAAGTTGGATGATGTAAAATGTATGAATAAAGATAAGTAAAAAATATATACAGTTATCGTGTTTATTTGCTATCATAGAAGCTCTA